GCTGCTTGGCCTGCTGTGTTCATCCAGCTCTACACCTTGTTATCCCAGATTCTCCAGCATCTGCAATTCCTACTATCTCTAAAGCTAGACCTTCTCTGGGCAATAAGGCAGGGCAGGTGACGGAAGTAAAAGTGGGGGAACACTATAGGTCTAGTGATCGTAATTCTATCAGTTTCAAAATGGTTCTGGAAAAGGGTAAGCCTTCCATATGATTAAAGTTTTTAATTGGAGTAAGGCAAATTTTAATGGTATGAGACAAGAACTTTCAAAAGTTGATTGCAGTAGACTGTTCACAGGTGAAAGGATGTCTGACAATTGGGAGGCGTTTAAGAGTGCAATGATGAGAGTTCAGAGGCATTTTGTTCCTGTTAGAGTGAAGGGTAAGACTGGTAAGATTAAGGAACAATGGATGAATAAAGATATTGAGATTCTAGTCAAGAATAAAAGAATTTTTTTTTAGATATAGACAACTTGGATCAAATAAATCTCTTAGTCAATATAAAGAGTGTAGGGGCATTCTTCAGTGAAAAGTCAGAAAGGCAAAGAGGGGATATGAGATAGCATTGGCAGAGAAGGTTAAGGATAATCCAAAGAGATTCTACAAATACATTAAGAGCAAGAAGGTAGATAGAGAGAGGATTGGGCCTCATAAAGATCAAGGAGGTCGTCTTTGTGTTGAACCCCAGGAGATGGGAGAGATACTAAATGAATATTTCATGTCCGTTTTTACTGTGGAGATAGAAATGGAGTCTGGAGAATGCAGAGAAATAAACTTTGATGTTTTAAAAACAGTTCATATTATAGAAGAGAAAATTTGGGAGGACTTAGAGAACATAAAAGTGTATAAATCTCTGGGACCTGATCTAATGCATCCCAGAATGTTGTGGGAAGTAAGGAAGCAAATTACGAGGCCCCTGGCAGAAATATTCGCATCATCTATAACCATAGGTGAGGTGCCTGATGACTGGAGGGTGGCTAAAGTTGTACCTTTGTTTAAGAAAGGTTGTAAGGAGAAACCAGGGAA